CCAGAAAGCTCAGAAGGCTAAATGAATATTATCCCTAATACCTGCCACCCCACTCTTAATCAGTGGTGGAAGAACAGTCTCAGAACTGTTTGTTTCAATTGGCCATTTAAGTTTAGTAGTAAAAGACTGGTTAACGATAACAATGCATCGTAAAACCTTCAGAAGGAAAGGAGAATGTTTTGTGGACCACTTTGGTTTTCTTTTTTGCGTGTGGCAGTTTTAAGTTATTAGTTTTTAAAATCAGTACTTTTTAATGGAAACAACTTGACCAAAAATTTGTCACAGAATTTTGAGACCCATTAAAAAAGTTTAATGAGAAACCTGTGTGTTCCTTTGGTCAACACTGCAACTTTCCAGTTTTGCCTCGCTTAGGAGAAAGACATGTAATTCTGGTTTTATGAATTTGTGGAAACTTTATGAAAATGTAGTTCTCGAGTTAACACTTCTAGGTGGAGATAGGGTTGTTTTCCTCCCACGTACTTGGAAGGGGAAGGAATCTAAGCTATGGGAGGGCTGCTTTGATTACCACATTGGAGAGAAATGCAGCATGTTACTGATGGCCTGTCACTAAGGAAGGCCAAATGCTGTAGTAGAGTCCTTGTGTTGCATAGAAAGCTTAATGTAGTTAAACCAATGTTAAGCGAGTCTTTGGAAACATGAAATAGTTTCCAAATTACAGGGATGTGCGTTTTAAAACAGGTTAAAATGAGTAGTGGAAGTTGACTATTTCCCCTGACATAAGAAGTAAGTAGTTGCTAGTGCACACCCTATGTGAGTGGAGGGATCCATTTTAAAGTCAGTGGAGTTAGCTTTATGCCAGTTTGGTTTCACAAGTTTTACTGAGTGCTATTCAGAATAGGAACAAGGTGCTAACAAAAAGATGGCAATTTGAAGTAGCTATAAAATTGGACAGAGCCTAATCTTAAGTTTCTTTCCTCCTGCAGAGTCTAATACCTTTTATGCTTTGATTTGCAATTTGTCTGCTTGGTCACTAGCAATGAAGTGGTCATAAGCTTAGCAGGTGTCAGTGATAGCCCATTTACTCCTGAATCTTAAGCATTTGTGCATTTGAAAAACTTAATGATCTTCCTGCTGGGATTACAGGCATGAGCCACTATGCCTGATCTCCCAGATGTAGAAGAGTATCTAAAGGTATCTTTTTGGCTATATAAGGAAAATTTTTGGTTAAGTTTGAAGGATAGGTAAAATTAAAGGACATGCTTTTTGTTTGTGTGATGGTTTTTTTTATTGAGATGGAGTTCTTGTTGCCCAGGCTGGAATGCAATGGTGAAATATCACTGCAAGTTTTGCCTCCTAGGTTAGAGCAATTCTGCTTCAGCCTCCCAAGTAGCTGGGATTACAGGCATGTGCCTGTAATTTTGTGTTTTTAGTAGATACGAAGTTTCTCCATGTTGGTCAGGATCTCAAACTCCGACCTTAAGTGATCCCTCCGCCTCAGCCTCCTAAAGTGCTGGAATTACAGGCATGAGCCACCATGCCCGGCCAGGACATATGTTCTGTAAGGACATGCTAAGTAGGAGTTAAAGCAGCATGAGAGAGACAAGGCCTTTGTGTTGCTCAAGGTTCAAAGGTACTTGAATTGGCTATAGACAAGTTTGTAACTTGAAATGTGAGCCTTTTCCCTCATCTAAGTCTGAATTAGATAAAATGCCTTCCCATCAACCAATTCTCTGAGGTGTCAAGTCTAAATTAGATTTTTGTTCTTTAGTTTTTTTACTATCTTCATGTTTACAAAAGTAAATTGCCTAAGATTTGCTGGATGACCGTAGAAAGGACAGGTAAGGCCTTTAATAGGTGGCCAGTAGACGCCCTCTATTGACAGTTGACAGCTGTAAGATTTACCAGTGGAGAATTCTGTTGACATGCAAGGAAGCAAGACTTAAAAAATTGTTCCACTGGAAACAGGAAAGAGTTTACTTGCATACTGAGATTAACTTCTCTGTGAAATCCAGTGTCTTAGAAAACTGTGGCTTGAGCACCACCTGCTGGTATTCATTACAAACTAGCTTGCTACAGTAAATGAATTTTTTTTAAGATTTAAGATGAAGTGGCATTTCTCTTGACAGTTACTATGTTGGAATTGGTTAAAATTTTTGGAGTGGATTTCAAAAGTGAGAACTACAGTATTTCAAGCTAGTGTTTGGCTTTTTTTGTTTAGACGGGGTTTTACTCTTGACCTGGCTAGAATGGAAGTCATGGCTAACTGCAGCCCTGACTTCTGGGCTCAAGTGATCCTCCCTGAATAGCTGGGACCACAGGTGTTTGCCACCACACCTGGCTAATTTTTGTATTTTGCCAGTTGCCCAGGCTGGCCAACTCCTAGGCTCAAGTGGTCTTCCTGTACTGTATCTTCCCCAGTTAAACTGATACTTACCTTTCAAATCTCAGATGTACCAGGGCCTCAGCAGTGACTCAAGGAAGAACCTATGTGCTCTTAGTGGGACACAGTTTGTTCAGACCTACTAACCTCAACCCAGTTTCAATTCTTTCTAGTGGAGAATGTTGACAGCTTACATTGATAGGCCAGATTTTAGCACTGGGTTTTCGTGATCTTCGTGTTTCAAACATAGTAACTTACCATTTATCTTTTAGTGTAAAATATTTCATTTAGCTAGAACCCCTGAAATTCAAATGTGCTTTTTCTCATCTAATTATTTGCAATTAAACATTTTTATCATTTACTTTGGTACTGTTTTTAGCAGGCACATGGATCTCAGGGTTTAGTTTGTGGGCTCTATGGGAGACAATGACAAAGATGTTGCAATAATTCTAAGTAAGGGATATTAGAAAACGAAGCAGGCCAATTGATGGCTCATGCCTGTAATCCTACCACTTTGGGAGGCCGAGGTGGGGGGATCACAAGGTCAGGAGTTCAGACCAGCCTCACCAACATGGTGAAACCCCATCTCTACTGAAAATACAAAATTAGCCAGGTGTGGTGGCAGGTTCCTGTAGTCCCAGCTACTCAGGAGGCTGAGGCAGGAGAATCGCTTGAACCCGGGAGGCAGAGGTTGTGGTGAGCCAACATTGCACAACTGTACTCCAGCCTAGGCAACACAGCAAGACTCCGTCTCAAAGAAAAAAAAAGGCCAGGCACAGTTCCTTGAGTCCTAGTTCCTTGAGGCCGAGGCGAGATTTGTGAAACCCCGTCTCTACTAAAAATACAAAAAAGCCAGGCATGGTAGCACATGCTTATAGTCCCAACTGAGGCAGAGGTAGGAGAATCCCTTTATCTTGGAAAGTGGGGATTGCAGTGAGCCAAGATCTTGCCAGGGCACTCCAGCCTGGGTGACAGGGCAAGACTGTCTCAAAAAATAATAAAAATGAACTGGGGATGGTCATGCACACCTGTAGTCCCAAGCTTCTCTGGGGGGTTTAGGCAGGAGGATCGCTTCATCCTGGGAGGCTGAGGCTGCAGTGAGCTATGATGGTGCTACTGCACTCCAGCCTGGGCAACAGAGTGAGACCCCATATCAAAAAAAAAAAAGGTAAATCATAGAAAACTTTAAGCAAAAATATTTGGAAGGCTCCCATACTTTAGAGATATATATATTGTAAATATATATATATATTTTTTTTAGAGACAGTCTCACTATGTTGACCAGGCTGGTTTCAACCTCCTGGCCTCTAGTGAGGTGCTGGGGTTACAGGCATGAGCCGCTGCACTCTGCCACATCCTTTAAAAGTATGTAGTTATGCAGGCCAGTTGCGGTGGCTCATCCCTGTAATCCCAGCACTGTGGGAGGCCGAGGCAGTTGGATCACCTAAGGTCTGGAGCTTGAGACCAGCCTGGCCAACGTGGAGAAATCCCATCTCTACTAAAAATACAAAATTAGCCGGGCTTGGTGGCGCATACCTGTAATCCCAGCTACTGGGGAGGCTGAGGCAGGAGAACTACTTGAACCCAGGAGGCAGAGGTTGTGGTGAGCCGAGATCGTGCCATTGCACTCCAGCCTGGGCAACAAGAGTGAAACTCCATCTTTAAAAAAAAAAAAAAAAAAGGTATATAATTAATGCAAATTTCAACATGTATACAAATTACCACAATTAAAATATGGAACAGTTCTGTCACCCTGTAAAATTCACCTGTGCCCCTTCAAAAATTAAAATTTCTTTAGAGAAGAAGTCTCGCTCTGTTACAGAGGCTGGAGTGCAGTGGCCTAATAGCTCTCTGAAGCCTCGAACCCCTGGACTTAAGCGATCCTTCCACCTCAGTCTCCCAAGTAACTACGACAACAGGCATGAGCCACTGCACCTGGCAACCTGCGCCCCTTTGTAGTCAACCTCTCTACCCCTAGCACTTGTTAGCCACTGGTTTATTTTCTATCCTCATTGCTTTTGCAGGACTGTCCTATACCTGGACTCACAGTTTATAGCATTTTGAATCTGGCCTCTTTTTTTTGAGACAGTCTCACTCTATCATGCAGGCTGGAGTGCAGTGGCGCGGTCTCAGCTCACAGGAATCGCCGTCTCCTAGGTTCAAGCAATTCTGCCTCAGCCTCCTGAGTAGCTGGGACCACAAGTGCCCACCACCACACCTGGCTAATTTTTGTATTTTCAGTAGAGACAGGATTTCACCATGTTGGTCAGGCTAGTCTCCAACTCCTGACCTCAGATGATCTGCCCGTCTTGGCCTCCCAAAGTGCTGGGATTACAGGCGTGAGCCACCGCACCCAGCCGAGTCTGGCCTCTAACTTAGCATGATGCATTTGAGATGTATTCATTTTGCATATATCAGTAATCTCTTCCTTTTTAATGGGTGTATGACAGTTTGTGTATTCATTCCCAGCTGAGGGGCATTTAGTTGTTTCCAGTTTTGGACAATTATTAATAAAGTTGCTATAAATGTCCACATACAGTTTTGTGTGTAATGATGTTTTTGTTTTACTTGCGTAAATAGCTAGGAAAGTAATTACTAGGCTGAGTGGCAAAGTGTATGCTTTATAAGAAACTGCCGAGCTGTTTCCAAAGTGGCTGAACCAAATGGTAATTAAGAGATTAATTTTTTTGAGGAAGACAAATAGACTACATGAGTGTTAAACTGAGATTTTGCAGGTCAGTGAAGTAATTTGTTCAGAAAATATTGTGCTTACTATGTTCTAGGCACCGTTCTAGGCACTGGGGATAGAGCAATGAACAAAATGGACATAGTTATTGACCTTTGAGTTTATAGTTAGTGGGGCAGATAAAGATTCAATAAATAAAAGTAGCTAATTTTGACTTGTGGTGGTACTATGAAGGAAAAGAGAAGTACACCATGAGGGAGAAGATTAAAAGAAAGGGACATAATTTAGACTGGACAGAGAAGGTATCTGCCAGGAATACCTGAGACCTGAAGGTATTAGGAGTTAGGGGAGAATATGAAAACATTGTGTGCATATACACACACACACACATATATATACACACACACATATATATATATATGTGTGTGTGTGTGTGTGTATTTTCTCGAGACAGTCTTGCTCTGTCACTAGGCTGGAGTGCAGTGGCTTGATCTCGGCTCACTGAAACTTCCGCCTCCCAGGTTCAAGTGATTCTCCTGCCTCAGCTTCCCAAGTAGCTGGGACAGGCGCACACCACCACGCCCAGCTAATTTTTGTGTTTTTAGTAGAGATGGGTTTCACCATGTTGGCCAGGATGGTCTTGATCTCTTGACCTCGTGATCCACCCGACTTGGCCTCCCAAAGTGCTGGTATTACAGGTGTGAGCCACCACACCTGGCCCTGTATATTTTTATTTTATTTTATTTATTGTTTGACACTTTTTTGGTGTTTTTGTTTTTTGTTTTTTTGTTTTTTTTTTTCTGACAGAGTCTCACTCTGTTGCCCAGGCTGGCATGCAGTGACGCTATATCAGCTCACTGCAACCTCCACCTCCCCAGTGCACGCGTTTCTTGTGCCTTAGGCTCCCAAGTAGCCGGGACTACAGGCGTGCACCACCACACCCAACTAATTTTTGTATTTAGTAGAGATGGGGTTTTATCATGTT